CGCTCAATCTCAGCTTTGACCTGATTGAACTCTAGTTGGGCTCTGAGAATCTTGCCCTCCTCATGCTCCAGTGAGGCCTGACACAGAACCACAACATTTAGCCTGAATAGTTATTTACGTTGACTATATTTTTGTTGTTATGGTCAGTTATGTGGATGTTTTAAATACCTCTGCTTCCTCCAGAGCTGTTTGTATCTCTGACTTCTCTTGCTCCAACTGCTTCCGAATCTTTTCAAGTTCATGAATACTCTTTCCTCCCTCAGCAATTTGTTCAGTGAGATCAGCTATTTCCTCTGAGGTACAAAATCAAACGATGTTTTTTGGCAATTCAAAATTCTGTTTCAGCAACGCAGTAATCTGATGCTGGTTCTTACCCTGAAGATTCTTATTTTCTCTCTTCATGGTCTCCAGATGTTCTAGAGATTCTTCATAGGAGTTCTTCAGTTTGAAGAGTTCAGTGCTCAGAGATCTCGTTTCTTTTTGAGTACTCTCCAACTCTGCCTGAGACTCCTCATACTTTTGTTTCCATTCTGCCAGGACCTGGAATGCATGCAGTTATGTGTTATCATTTTCTGCATTTAAAAAAAAAAAAAAAAAAAAGGTTTCATCTGAACTTTAATTTCTTAGACCTTGTCAAAGTTCCTTTGCTTCTTGTCCAGAGCAGCGGCTGCAGCATTAGACCTCTCCACGTCCACCATCAGATCTTCAATCTCATTCTGAAGTCTGTGTTTAGTCTTCTCCAGAGAGGAACATTTAGCATTCACTGCTTCCACAGCTTCCTCAGCCTCCTGCAGACGCTGAGCCAGCTTCTTCCTGGAATAAATATGAAATTTGTTCAGGTTTTTTAACCTATTGAATGCAATCAGGACATTACAGTAAGATGTCATGTTTTACTCACTTGGCCTCCTCCAGCTCCTCAGTTCTCTGGATGGCATCAGTTTCGTACTTAGTTCTCCACTGAGCCACCTCAGAGTTGGCCTTGGACATGCTGCGCTGGAGTTCACCCTTGGCCTCCTGCTCCTCCTCATACTGCTCCCTGAGCAGGTCACAGTCATGGCGAGAAGACTGCACTGCGTGGGCCAGAGCATTCTTGGCCTGTGATAGAGTAATAATTAATTTTAAGAATTTAAGAAATGTACTGTACATCTACTGTGTACAGTATGAATGCAATAATTGTATTAGTACCTTGACTTCTTCCTCCAACTGTCTTTTCAGGTCCTCAATCTGTTGAGTATAGGACTGTTTTCCTCTGGTGAGCTGAGACACAAGGGAATCTTTTTCCTCAAGTTGTCTTGTGAGTTCACCTAAATTTGAGAAAAGTCAAAAAATATAATTTTTAAAACATTTCAAATAAACTCTGTTCCATCCCAACAATTTAACAGTATACCTACTGTTTTCAGTTTGAAGCTTGGCCTTGTGCATGGTGAAGTCATTGATGGTACGTTGACCTTCTTCTGACTTTGTCTTGTATTCATTCATCTGGTCTTCCAAAGACCTGCACATTTTCTCCAAATTGTTCTGAAATTAACATAACAATATAAATGAATTACAAAATGGAAACTTTCCCAGACAGAGAGTGTGCAAACAAAATAAAACAAGTCATTTACTTTAGTCTTCACAATATGTTCCATACTGGAGACCACATCGTCCAGCTCCAGTCTGAGCTCACTCTTCTCTTTCTCCAGTTTCTGCTTGACTCTCTGCAGGTTGTCTATCTGCTCTCCCAGGTCAGCAACACTGTCAGCCTGTTTTTTCCTCAGTGATGCAGCAGTAGATTCATGCAGCAGTGTGGCCTCTTCAAGGTCTCTGCGCAGTTTCTGGAATTCAGCCTCCCTCTTCTTGTTCATCTCAATCTGGGCAGATGTTGCCCCACCAGCTTCCTCCAGCCTCTCACTGATCTCCTCCAGCTCTCTGGCCAGATCTGCTCTCTGCTTCTCCACCTTTGCCCTGGCAGCTCGTTCTGCCTCGAGTTCCTCCTCCAGCTCTTCAATGCGAGCCTAAGAGGGCAAAATGTGAGAAATCTTTTTAGCAAACTGAGCTTCTACAAATCACCAACACAGGTATGTCAATCATTACCTGAAGTTCTTTTAGTTTCTTTTGAAGCTGAATAGCAATGGCCTGCTCGTCCTCTATTTTATTATTTAGCTGACTGAGTTCAAAGTCTTTCCTGTTTTGAAGTGGCAGAATAAAGAGTCAGATTAAAATGTTCACTAGTGTTAATATAATACAATGATTTTCAACAAATACAAAAAGGTACTTTTTCATATGTTCCTCAAGTTGTTGCTTGTCATTCTCCAGGTCCATTAGACTCTCCTGGGTCAATTTCAGATCTCCCTCCAGCTTTCTCTTGGCTCTCTCTAGATCCATTCGAATCTTCTTCTCTTGCTCCAGAGAACCCTCAAGCTAGATAGTCACAGTGGAAAAAAAAATATTTTGTCTGAACTTGTGTTGGACAGAAAAAGTTATATGCATGCATTTTAATACATACATCGTCCACTTGCTGCTCCAGCTTGACCTTAGCCTTGGTCAGAGTGTTGACTTTGTCTTCCTCACTCTGCAGGTCGTCCAGTGTTTGTTGATGAGCCTCCTGTAAGGCTTTCTTTTCCTTGGTCAACTTGGCGATAATTTCATCCAGAGCTGCCATCTCCTCAGTCATATTTTTCACCTAGGGACAAGTGCACATTTTTGCAAACATTAAAATAAATAAGTGAACACCAAACTGTCATTTGGTCTTTTATACTGAGTGTTTTAATTCATTTTATCGGTACCTTGTTCTCTGTAGCGTGCTTCTCCTTTTCCACTTTGGCCAGAGTTAGCTCTAAGTCATCAATGTCTTTCTTTAACTCAGAGCACTCATCCTCCAGCTTCCTCTTCTTAGCAGTCAGTTCAGCGTTCATCTCCTCCTCATCATCCAACCTCTCCGTCAACTCCTTGATTTTTGCCTCCAGCTGAATCTTGCTCTTGATCAGACCTTCACATCTTTCTTCAGCATCGCAAAGATTATCTTGCTCCTGTCAATGAACATGATAAAGCCATAATTATTGTTAGCCTTTATTTTATGCAATATCTGTTGCATTCACATCCAGGTTCCTCACGTACAGTCTGAACTTGGAGCTGCAGGTCGTTCTTCTCTTGGAGGAGAGTGACCGTCTTCTCTTCCAGTTCCTTTTTGCGGGCTTCTAACTTTGCGTAAGCCTCTTTCAGTTTGGTGAACTCTTCCTTCATGTTGGCCATCTCCTTCTCACTCTCTGCTGACTTCAACAGAGGCTTGATCTTGAAGTACATCTTCATCCAAGGCCAATTCTTGACCCCCATGAAGGCACGGATGTTCCACTGGATCACCAGCACCGCATCCCTTTGGACAGTGATTCACAGAATTTATTTAAAAGAATGTTTTTTTGTACGTCATGTCACTGACAATCCTCATGCATCTTCTCAATCACTGTTATTGTTAATATGCCAAGTTAGAGTACAGAAAAACTACTCTAAATCAAAATGTATTTCAAATTGTCCTTTTGATTTTCTGTCCAGTGAAGGGACACGTACCTGCGTTCTACAATCTTCTTGAATTCAATTCGTGCCAGAACGCCTCTGGATCTTGCCTGCAGTCTTGTTATGATCAGAGCCAAACGGTCATCTCTCATCTCCTCCAGGAGACCAAGCAGCCCAGCTTTGAAGAACACCTACATTTTGTAAACAGCTTGAATTATTTAAAAGTAGTACCAATACTTATTCATACTGATTGCAGTCATGTGATAAACAATAGTACTGTAAGTGAAAATAAAAATATCTGATCATCATTATGTATTATCTGGTATAACTGCAAAAAGACAAAACAAAAATTACTGAACGTAAAGATCAGTACGCGGCACAGTCTACTTGTGACAAATGTGTTTCACCAATACCTTGGTGTGTCCCAGTTTGTACTGGGTATGGTCTATATCCAAGGATCCCAGAAGCTTCTCTGAGGCTTTCTTGTTATCAATAAACTGCCCCTCAGGGATCGCACTGGGGTTCAAAATACGGTATCTGTGGAAATATTAAAGAAATAAAATAATATCTGTTCTTTTGTACAGCATGGATTTTAAAAATATTTCTAACATTTCTTCTGTAGGGTCAACTGTAAATGCATCTTTGGGTATATGTGAATGTCTAGTTCTAATCAAACAACCTACTGTATCTACATATCCTGTAGGTACCTCTGTTTGAAGTCTCCGTAGAGGATCCTGTTGGGGAAACCTTTTCTGCAGATCCTGATTCCTTCCAGCACACCGTTACAGCGCAGCTGGTGCATCACCAGAGGATTCTCCATGGCCCCAGGAGTCTTGGTCTCATTGGGGATGATGCAGCGCACAAAGTGAGGGTGTGTGGACCTCAGGTTGGTCATCAGCTTGTTGAGATTCTCCTATAGATGCAGAGGCATGACATTAATATATCTAGAAATACATCATTTTTCTCTACATATTTTAGTTCATGTAATGACTTCATCCTGACCCTGTGAAGTGCTGACACAGTCTGGAAGGATGAGCCTTTCTTCTTGCTACCTTTGCCCTTTCCACCTTCCGGGGCTGAACAAAAAAGGGATCATTGGATAATGTTTAATCTATTTATGCAAAAATACAAAGTTGGAAAGTCTCTGTTGTACACTGATAAATGTTAGCTCCATTCTGAATACAAACCTGAATCAGCTCCAGCATAATTTGCAAAGAGCGTTGCAAGCAGTTTAACAGTAGACTTCTGATACAGTCCAACAACCGTCTCATTCAGAGGGTCTTTGTTCTTCACCAGCCAGTTGTTGATATTGTAATCAACAGTTCCAGCGTAGTGCATCAGGGCAAAATGAGCCTCTGGTTTCCCCTTGACAATTCTGGGTTTCTGGAAGTTTGCAGATTTTCCCAGGTGGTTGTCATAGAGCTTAGCTTTAAAGGTGGTGTCACTGGCTTTGGGGAACATGCACTCCTCTTCAAGGATGGACATGATACCCATGGGCTTTTCAATGAGGTCAATACAGGCCTGCAGGTCCATACCAAAGTCAATGAAAGTCCATTCAATGCCCTCTTTCTTGTACTCTTCCTGCTCCAGCACAAACATGTGGTGGTTGAAAAACTGTTGCAGTTTCTCGTTGGTGAAGTTGATGCACAGCTGCTCAAAGGTGTTGAACTGTAAAAAAACAACAACATGGACTCAGTCTTCTGAATATGAACCTATGACATGTTGATATGAATTGTTTAGTTTTTTCAAAGCTCACTTCAAAGATCTCAAATCCAGCAATATCCAGTACACCAATGAAGTACTGACGAGGTTGTTTAGTGTCTAGAGACTGGTTGATCCTGACCACCATCCACAAGAACATCCTCTCGTACACTGCCTTTGACAGTGCACCGATAGCATAGTTCACCTACGACAAAGAAGTATGTAAAGAAAGGAAATGAAAATATTTTTAACCTAATGTTGGAATATATTTAAAATCCTAATTTGTTTTACCTGGGCAACATTTTGTCCCTTGGTGACCCACTCGTTTCCTACTTTGACTCTTGGGTGACAGAGACATTTAATGAGGTCGGCAGAGTTCAGGCCCATCAGATAAGCGACTTTGTCAGCATCTAAGGAAGCGAACAGATCACTTTTATTCAAAACCACACTATAAAATTATTAGTCATCATAACCACAGCTGGTCTCTGACCCTCAGTGCCGTCTGCCTCAGCCTGCTCCTCTCGCTGTTTCTGCTTAAACCTCATGTTCCCATAGTGCATGATGGCTCCAGTCAGTTTGTAGATGCTGTTCTTCTCTTCTTGAGTGAAGCCCAGGACATCAAAGGCATCCTGAGAAAAAAGAAAATAAAAATGCTGAAGTACAGTATTATCTGTGTGTTTGAAGAACACAGTGTGTATTTCCAGACTGAGCTCACATCAGTGGCCATCAGCTCCTCTGAGTCATTGATGGAAGCCACAGTTGTCTCTCCTTGGGAGATGAAGGCGTAGTCGTAGGGGTTGTTGGTGATCAGCAACATCTCTGTAAGTGAGTGATTATATTTGTTGGTTACAGTACGTATATATTAGTCAGTTTGTATGTATATGTATGTGCCACCGTACCCAGAAGTTCAGGCTTGACCTGAGACAGGATCTGGTAGAAGATGTGGTAGTCTCTCTCAGCTTTGAGCTGGTAGGTCACACGTGATTTCTCCAGAAGGTCTGTTAAAATAAAAATGCATTTTAAGATATAATAATATTACGTCCAACAATAATAAATAAACGAATACAATACGGCTAATAAACAGGAACAAGAAATTAGAATGAAATTTGAACTTACAAGTCTCAATATCTGCAGAGGCGAGCTTTCCTCTGTTGTCAAAGTGAATTCTGATGAATTTGCCCTGGGTAGAAAAGACATGTTCATATTATTTACATTGTTATTGCAAATTTTAAAATAAATCTCTACTGTGAAAGTTGTCTTAGAAATACTCACAAATCTAGAGGAGTTGTCATTTCTGATGGTCTTGGCATTTCCAAAGGCTTCCAGAGCGGGATTAGCCTGGATGATTTGATCCTCCAAGGTTCCCTGGTTTGGTTAATTTGAGAAAAAAAGCTTAAATATATATATATATTTGTTAATACATTAACAATTGTACATGTAACGTAATTGTGAAATGAACCTTTTTTTCAGAAGCTGCGTCTTTCTTTCCTCCACCGGGGACAGCTGCGATGCTGGCAAAGTACTGAATGACACGTTTGGTGTTCACAGTCTTTCCAGCACCAGATTCTCCACTAGACAGAAGAAAGACAGTTAAAAGTTAAACCAGATTAACTTTATAAAAGAAGAACATGTTTGTTGAAGTGTGACTTACGTGATAAGGATAGACTGATTTTCTCTGTCTGTAAGAAAGAATTTAAAAAAATGGTCACTTGAATCTATTGTAATGCACCAGCAGGAAGTTGAAGGAATGCAGACAGGATAAAACAGATGGTGTACCTGACAGCATGTACTGGTAGGCATTGTCAGAGATGGAGAAGATGTGAGGAGGAGCTTCACTCCTCTTCTTTCCTCTGTAGGCAACAACCACCTCCTGGTTGTAGACTGGCAGCCACTTGTAGGGGTTGACAGTCACACAGAAGAGTCCAGAGTAGGTCTGTCCAGGAGAGTTAACAGGAAGTCAATTTAAATATTAACATGTCTATTGTCTTAGCACTGAAGAATTATTTCTAGATACAAATGACATCTTACATAAATCATCCATGCTGCGTAACGCTCTTTGAGGTTGAACAGCACAGCTGGCTCATGGAGGAAGGTGAACATCGCCATGTCTTCAATTTTATCAAACTTTGGAGGATTTTGAGGATGTATGTCACACTCCTTGACTGTGACAGTCTGAGAAACAACATATAAACCACAATTTATAAAAAGTAATTAATAATTTTTCTTTGTCTCTGTAGTTTAGTTTCTGTGTTGAATAAAATCTACCTTTCCAAATTCAGTGTTAGCGGTGACTTTGTCACCATCTCGGCTGATAATGGTAGCCTTGATGTACTCCACCTCTGGATCAGGAACAAAACATTCCTTCTTCATGTCAAATGGACGAGTCTGGGCTTCCAGTCGCTCCTTATCAGACTTTCTAAGATAAGAAGCCGCAAGTCCAAACTCCCTCATAGCAGAGTCCCCCATTGTTCAACCTTCAGAAATGAGCATATATTGAATTTATATATCAAGTAAAATGCAGGTAAAACATTTTTAAAGCAGAATATATTCATACATCATCGACAAAATAAAGTAATTGTTCATTTGTTTAGCTTAAAAAGTCTTTCCAGTATTTAAACTTTTTTTTTCTATTATATTATTTACTTCAATGATTATTGTATCACTCCACAATAAGGCAAATGTAAAAAAAACAACGTTTTATAAAGATTGTTAAAATAATCACACCACAGCAACTATGCTGCCACACACACACATATCTATACAGTAGATGGACAGATAGTTATAAATAGACAGATAGATGTTCTGCTTACCTTGACTCTCAACCTTCAGTCAGGAAGAATGATGAGCCGGGATGCTCACAGCAGCCCCTTAGCCTGTTAATAAAGGTTGTTAATCCACCAAATATGGGATGAATGTTCAGAGAAAGGTTGCACATTAAAAAGGCCTTCTCCTAATACGGATCGATGCACTGCTGCTATTTGTTGCTTTTACCTTGTGACAAACAAGGGAGCACAATACATGTAAGCCAGAGGGGAGGGCAAGAGGTGGAGATCAGGGACAGACTCCATATCAAATGACTTCTGTTTTATTTACGTGATAAATAGCGGTATGTTTCATGTATTAAATATTTGTCATGTCTGTCAATGTACAGGTAAATTATATTTTTGATTTGTGTATTGGTTTTTCTTGCCTTCAACAGTTTAAATTAAAATATGTAACATGAAAAAAGAAAATTCCTCTAAGATGGAAGATAACAACGGTGACATCAACATGAAAAGATTTTACAAATGAACTCAAATGTGTATTTGAGTTTAAAGAAGCAGCAAAAGGATTAAGCGAGGCCATTATAAATACACGATGGTGTTCAATGTACCATAGGTTCAGTGAACACTGGTCAGATGGAGGGATGGCTTGCATGATGAAGTGTCACAGCTGTTGATGTGAGAGCTCAAGTTCAGGGTCTTGTGATCACTCAACACTGTCCTGCCCAGCTACGTCTACACCCTTTGTCTCATACTGTCCTCGTGGCATGAATCCCTTTCCTTTGGCCTTGAGGACAAAGATAACCTCGTGAAATTCTTGTCTCGATATTTTCCCCCTAATTGAGAAGGACACCCTCTGATGGCACCATTACAGCAGAGCAGTGCGATGCTATGACTGATGGAGGGAAACAGGTGCACGGCAGCGCATGTGTAGTTTTATGTTGTGATTTTATCATTTTATTTTGAATTTGTCCTTTGTTCATTAGCATCAGCTAATCATCCATTATATGGAGTTGGAATTGAAAGACTATTAGAAGAGAAAGAAATTAAGACAAAAAAACAGAATAATCGTCTTCACATTTTTTTAAACACTTAAAAACACTTTTTTGTTTCATTTATTTAAGACCATAATGAAACCTTTGATAACTTCATCAGAATTTTCTTAACGCTGCTGAACTCATCTTTATTCTCAGCTGTCTTAATCCTTGTGGAAACTCCATCTGTGGAGTGGTCGCCTCCCTGCCTTCACCTCATGAGACCCCGGCCATGAGGTCACCTCTGAAGGTAAGGGCTAGTGTTTCGGCAGCTAATCTCTTACATGGAAAGAACAAAGGTGTCACCTTGATATGCTTTCATTAATGGCTCTTCTACTTATCTCTTTATAGATAAAAAAACTTTGAGGGCACAACGAGGTGTGACCAACGTCTGTGGTAGGAGCTAAACAAAGACAAAATGTGAACGTCGCGAGAGAGGATCAGTCTGTGGTTGGAAGGGTGAAGGTAAGGCTGTTTATGATACTGAGGCGAAAATGTACTTTTAATCCGTGTTTTTATAGTTTGTTGCACTATACGATTAATATTTACAGAGTAATCATTTACCACATGTTTTTAGCAACAGGATTTGAAAGGTTTTTAAGGTGTGTTTGACTTTTTTTCTATTTAAAGACTTGACAAGACAATGTGTTTCGTAAAGTTTTTTATCCAATAATCTAGTATTATCATACAGTAAAATTTAGAGCATCATTAATTTGAGTAGAAGTAATCTTAAAATGTGGTAATGTCTGATTAAGAGGTTAAAATATCAAGACCATTGGTGCTGCTATATATATATATTTTATATATATAAAGCTCTGATCTAATATTTGACCAATATACCAATTTTTGAATGTGGTATAAACGTATTTCAAATTGATATAAATGAGATGAAGCACAGCATATTTTTTATTTTAATTATAGAATACCCAAAATAGACAAATGCATTGAGCAGCACTTTTGAGAGACAAATCCCAAGTCCCTTCTAACAGAATCAGACCCAGACTCAGGTTGTGCAGCTGTCTGTTTCAGCAGTCAGTTATACGGCAGTCTCTGTGTCCACAGACACCACTGTTCTCTATTTTCTACTTTTATTTGTCTTTGTTGTATTTATAGAGTTTAGAAAAGAAAAGGCAAGAAAAGGAAAAAAAAGGATAAAAAGATAGAAAGTGACAGTGGTAAGAACCAGCTCAGAATCAGTGTTTCTCAAGAGCAGCTCAGTTGTTTGATGGTTGCCAGTTTAGTACATTTTTACATGTTGGGTTTGTGGTAGAACATATTTTTGCTTATCAATTTTTAAATTAGATTAGAAAGTTTAGAAATACTTTTGCCTTAATTTTATAAAGACAAGAGCACATTTAAATGTCACCTTATTTGAAGGATAAAGTTCCAAATGTTACCACATGGGGGCAGGAGTGGTTTATAGTAATAGTTTTAAGGAAATGAATGGAAACACTGCACAACTGAAATGCACTTTTCTTTATTCTACAGTTGCTGTAGAGAAGAAAACTACAGCATAGGAGAAGAAAAGGCTCCTAAGTGTCATCGGAGTACTTTACTCCTCATCGAGGCCTTTCTGTGGTGAGGAATGAAAAGAGAGTAGCAAAAAGAGACAGATTAGAAAGGAAGACCAGCAGGAGGCGACACTTGACACGGAAAGTCATACACGTCTGTAAAACCTTTGTACAACTGGACTCAAACTGTATTTTGGAGTCTCGAGACCTTCATAGAAATTAAATATTAAATAAATTAAAAAAATTATTACACACTGATTTCATTTTTTGCTATAAATACAATCACTAAGGCCTGTATTTTAAACGCAATACCTTAATGTAGTAAATGTAACTGGCGCCCTCTGCTGTTGCGGTCGTGTAGCGACCCCAAACCACTATCAGCATACGCCAAGGGTTAGACCCCGGTTATAAAAAACCATGTCCTATATTTGGGTCAATACGGTAGTTATAACTGGTATATTAGTTTGAATTTTGATTTGAATGTATAATTGGTATTTTTGCAATCAGTATTGTCCAGAAAAATAAAATTGTTTTTGTCAAAGGGTGTCCTTTTTTAATGTATAAAATAAAAATCCTTGAAAAAAAAAACACCATACCTTCACACCAACATCACGGCTCTTGGCGCGCATCTTGTTGACCTGGGACTCAGCGATGTCGGCTCGCTCTTCTGCCTCATCCAACTCATGCTGCAGTTTACGGAACTTTGTCAGATGGTTATTGGCCTGCTCCTCCTGTCAGATTTGTACAAAATAAATAACCAAATTAATCAAAGTTTCGGTAATCAAAGTATAAAACCATCAGCCTCTAATTTTAAATAATAACATATTAACTTCCTGTGTATCCAGATTATATTAAAAGCAAAAATTTAAAAGATTACTTTTGTTAGAGTTTTAGTTTTTGTAATACTAAAAAACCTTCTGCTGTACTTACAGCTTCCTCAGCAGCTCTCTTGTAGGACTTGACTTTCAACTGCAGCTTGTCCACCAGATCCTGCAGACGTGCAACATTCTTGCGGTCTTCTTCAGTCTGGATGGTTTAAGAGAGCAGGAATAAATACGTACTTTCATATTTTCTGATATTTAAGCCTTACTTTTCCTCATACTGTAAATGATATGGAAAAGTGTGATTGATATGTATTCTATTATGTAGCCAGTTGACTATGCTGTGGTGGAGAAAAGCAAAGATTACCTGGTATGTGAGCTCTTTAATGCGTCTCTCATATTTACGGATTCCTTTCACAGCTTCACTGCTCTTCTTCTGCTCGGACTCCACCTCAGTCTCCAGCTCCTTCACCTGAACCAAGAGCATCCACAAATTAACTAAACTAAAAGACAAGTTACATTGAACATTATTGAGAATATTAACAATTAAACAACAAACAAATTATTATTATTATTTAGCGTGCATAAATAAATACATAAAGAACTGCATTCCTTTGCACATTGACTGTCTGACAGCAATTCATGTCTTTACTGTCCAGCCCAGGGACTTGTTGTTTAGTGCATTGTTTTAAAAATATTAGTCTTAAATTACCAACATCACTCACCCTTGCTTCAAGCTTCTGCACCTGCTTCTTGCCTCCCTTTAAGGCGATCTGTTCGGCTTCATCCAGACGATGCTGCAGGTCTTTGATGGTCTGCTCCATGTTCTTCTTCATACGCTCCAGGTGAGCACTGGTGTCCTGCTCTTTCTTCAGCTCCTCTGCCATCATGGCAGCATCAGTAATGGCCTTCTTGGCCTTCTCCTCAGCATTTCTACACTCCTGCACAGCATCTTCTACTTCTGTCTGAAGCTGGGAAGTATCAGCCTCCAGCTTCTTCTTCTGGTTTATCAGGCCGGTGTTCTGCAAATGTTTGTAGACAAATAAAATTAATGGATTTTTTTTTTAATGTCAGGTAGAAGAAACTGAACTATTTTGAAGCTGTTGTCCTGGTCTCACCTGTGAGTGCAGTAGCTGCACCCTCTCACTAACATCCATCAGCTCTTGCTCAGCAAGTTTGCGACTTCTCTC